CAACAATTCTTCATATCATACTTAGAACCGACCAACAATTCTTCATATCATACTTAGAACCAACCAGCAATCCTTCATATCATACTTAGAACTAATCAACAATTCTTCATATCACACTTAGAACCAACCAACAATTCTTCATATCAAACACAGAACCAACCAACAATTCTTCATATCATACTAAAATCTAACCAATAATTTTTCATATCATACTACAGTCTAACCAATAATTGTTTATAATCGCGATAATTCGTCATTATACCGGTTTTTCCTGTCRTCGACCTCGGCCACAACATCTTTCCATCTTCTATTAATGGAGTTCAGCTTTTCTCTCAACATCTTGGCTTCAACTKSGCTGGACTGTCTTATTATATCCTCTCCCATACTGTTGACCGAGTTGATKGTRCTCTCATGGGTTGATATGCCGTCTTCAAGACTCTATTTGAAACAACACAGCAACGTTAAGGGGCGATTTACGCGTAACGAAGAAGTAGACGGAAAGCGGCGAAGAAGGGAACATAACGGAAGGATTTTCGCATTATATTTTTCGTTCGTAACATCCTCCGTCTCGGATGGGCGTAGGTGGCTTGCGATTCCGTAATCGAAAAGGGAACATGAGAGATAACACTGAAAGAATGAGAACGGAAGGAATTTTTTTTCATCTTTTTCTTCCATAACCGTTTCCGTATCGGACATTTGCGCCACAGAGTGCCGATTTTCGCAAGAGGCTCACGTTTCCATAACTTTTTTTCATTAACTTCAAAAGTGAACGTCTTATGATGATACGATTGGACTCCACCAAATGGTTTAAAATCTTCTTGAAGGCAAACTTGCATCAGGGAACCTTTGCGACAGTTTGCTTTGTTAAAAAGAAGATATCTTGTTGTGCGTTGTAAAAAAACGTTAACATTGTATTAAAGAATTCGCGCAAAGGATCTCGGAAGCACGTGGGCTTTTAAAAGGCGAAGAAATAATTAAAATAAGAAAAATTATAATAAAAAGTTTATATGTATATGAGGAAAATCTTACCCTTTGCTCTGACATGGCGGCGTCCACGTTCAGGTCACCATTAGGCATTTTACTGTCGGCGAGGATTCGTTCAACTCTATTCAGCCAAGAAGTCAGGTCCTTGAGATCACAGTGAAATGAACGCCATACGGTCATCGCCTTCTCCCATTTGACCATGCGCGTTTTATAATCCTAACAAGGGATTATGACTTAGATCAGTATTGACATGCGATTCTTAACATTATATTAAGGCTTTACTACCACTTAAATACTCCTCTGGGCTGATAAGTTCAAAGCCCGATACACCTACTTGCGAAAACGTTGTCATAAAAAATAGGACATTTGTATTTTAGTAAAAGGAATAAATTAAAAAGACAAAAGAAGATCACTGAGGCTGAACGCTTTCTTTTGTCTTGTTTTAATTTATTCCTTTTTACTAAATTCAAATATTCTATTTTCTATGACAACGTTTCTGCAAGTAAAAGAGACCCAAATCACTGTCGTGCCTTAGAACACATTTCGTAGTTGCTAAGTCAACTAATCTATCATTATTTCGTATTATATAAACTCGATATTAGCTTAGAACCTTTTAGTTTCTTTAGGAGTTATAATTTAGTGATTCGAGTCCCACTTTTCAAGATGGATGACGCATTGTTCTCCGAAATTCCTTATTCATGCATTAGTGTCAATTTTAGAGTACAGCCCTGTTTTCCTCGTTATAATTCCAACCGCATTAGAACTACCTTTTTTAAAGAGCTTTATGCTCCAAATATTGATCTTTTGTTGTCGAAATTCAGCTACGTGGGAGGAGGGGGAAGGGATATTTTTTTACCTTGTTGACATTGTTCCAATCCAGTCGTAGTTTACTAACTGCTTTTTTCACAGCGTCATATTCTCTGTCGTTGGTGCAYTGTTCGTGAGTCAATGTCTCGCTTCGTTTGAARAGGTCCGACGCTTTGGACTCGAAACTCTCAAGACTATCCCCGATTGACTRGGAAGGAAATGGAAATTCTATTGAGCAGATGGTTATGAAAAGAAGACAATAATAGAAAAGGTGAAAAGGCTAAGAAAGAGCAAGAAAAAGGGGAAAGGAATGAAGGGAGACGACGAAGGAAAATAAGAAGAAAAGAGAAAGCAAAGCAAGCAGAAAATTCGAGAGGAAGAAAGAATAACAACAACAATCTGAAGAAGAAGAAAAAGAAAAAAGAAGATCAACAAAGAAGACCAACAGAAACTGAATAAGACGAAGATGAACAACAACAACGACAAAAACAACAACAACAAAAACAACAACAACAACAAAAACAACAACAAGATGAAGAAGAAAAAGGAAACAGAAAGTAGAACAATAACAACAAAAACAACAACATGATGAAGAACAAGATGAAGCTAATGAACAAGAATAAGAAGACATCATTATCATCAAAAGCACCATAATTACATCAATAGGAATTCATAAAAATACAACGCGAAATTTTGACATCGCATAAACATAATCAACATAAAAGAATGACCCCGAACAGCGATAATTCCTACTACAAAAGCTTACCTTTAGCTTATCTTCTTGACTAGAAAACTCCTCATAATCAGCGCCTTGCAGTTCGGGTGAGTTTAACCTCGAGTCGATCTGCCGAACTTCTTCGGATAATTTCGTCATGTCCTCGACCATGGCCCATCCAGTCGACGCTCCGTCTCTTTCGGCCGACGAGAACTGGTAAGGTTGCCACTGAATGTTTGCAAGTCGATGTCGATTGAAGATGTCTTCTCCGTCTGAAATGACAACATTTGCAGTAATTTGACGTTAGTTTGAGCTGTTGAGTAGGAAAACTTACGAAGTGCAAACCACTGAACTTTTCTTACAAGTACAGCAGACAATTTCAATGACATAACATTCTTAAAGCTATGCAGGCTATTAATTTCTCGTTAAGTGCTCCCAGGGTAGCATATTGTTTCTTATTCAAACACTATGTCCAGATATTCAATAATAAGTATTTGTAAACATTATAGACGATGCTGTGACAGCGAAAGCTCGGATTCTTAAAATATATTTGTTCCACCATTGCATCCCTGGCTACTTTTTTACATATTTTCTTCATTATAAGAAATGTTATATTTTTTCAAAAAAATAACAGAAGCGCGAAAAGGACCAAAACATTTCACTTACGTCTGACATGATTTCATGATCTTAAATAACTGAAATTATTATTATTGCTAGGTTATGTAATAATACATACATGTATGTTATATACCAATGCAATAATTCGCCTGGTGAGTTTGCTTTGACCACCACATATCCCCCGCAAACGGCAAATCAAAAATGATTCGTATAAGCTGTTCTATATAGAAAAATGTCTTCTTCTAATTAATTTGATATAGTGGTTTAGGTATCCTTTCATAAGTCTAAAAATATCTAACTAAATCCCACGCATAAATGTAATTTATAAGAGAATGTTATGACTCCAACATCGGATTTTTTCAGTTTGCAAAAAGAGCTCAATAAATTTCTAAAATTTGACGACYGTAGAGAGAAAATAACAGCTAGGAATCWACCAAAAACATACCAAAATCCATTYCTGTTAAAGCACAACCCCAAGAAAGATTTTCCGTGCAAAATACATGGCAAGCAGTATGTTCTAWGAAGGAATATTTTGCCTTTTTGACCTATTAAGGCCGCCAATTAGAAAATACTGAAAATTTAATGAGCTTAACAAAAGGAATTTGCCAATAATAAAGAGAGTGTTGGTTAAATAAACTGGGTTGTTAAAATCCTCAAATTATAAAATATTGATGCTTTGTCGCTTTAATAAGGATTCGYTGTCTTGTATTTTATTATTATAAAGAGACGGAGCACTGAAGGTACGAGTCCTCCTATTGGTCAATTAGGCTGAGAAATGATTTGAATAGAACAAGTTTTTTCATTGGTTAAAAGAGATGTTTTTTTATTCTTTTTGGAAAAAGGTTTTATCAACCTAMTCGGTAAAGCTAGACAAAATATTACGTTTTTTCATTAYAATTAAATGTTTGAAWTACGCGTTGAAAATCCGAAACGAAGACAAAAGGAATRAAAAAAAATATGAAGGAAATGAGAAAACTGAATAATAAAACTGAAGATGGGTTCATCGGGAAAAGAACCAAATTTGCACTTTGCATGTATGAGCGGGGCATTTGCTACAATTAACAGAGTGATTTATAAACCGGCTTTCTTTGTAATGTAATTCGTTCAAATTTAAAGACGAATCAAAATACGGCATAATATAAGATACCAAAATATAATAAACCCTAACGAAACAAAAGAGGACCCTTGGTAAAACAAAGGACCTCTCATATAACCACACAAAACGTACCTGGAGGTATAAAAAAGCCCCCACATTTCATGTCCTTGGACTCTCCAGGACGGTCCTTCCCAATCCAAACATTACAATCAAAGCTGTAGACTTTTTCAGATTTCTTGTCCTGTATGTAAATGCTCCTAACATTCCAGGCTGGTTTGGCGCCTGTGTTATCATGCCAGACCTTAATCTTRGTCAAGTCTCCCAGGCCCTTCATTTGTTCGCTATTGAAGATATCTAACTGGTCGCGGCGGAATGGGGTTAAGTAAGTCTCGGATTTTTGAAGTTTGATTTCGGGTGATGATCGKCCCGAGTCGCCATAGAGAACCAATGAGACTTTAGCACGTGTGTCGGCGTCTTTGACGTCACCAGTATGTACGACGACTCGGTATGACGTAGCTGTGAATATATAAATATTAATTAGTCATTTTTTCATTTTATTTAAGGCCCGCTAGTATCCAAGAAACTCTCTCGTAAGGATTCGGATCCTTGTGGAATATCATTAGACGCATGTGATAATAGGCAAAAAACCGCCATTTCTAGGCCATTTGAAATCAATCAGTGATAAATAGTTGGGATTCCTGTGGTATACAATTGGGATCCCTGTGGTACGCACCTTCGTCCTTCGGTTTCTTGTACTGTTCAAAGCGACTATTGATTTCTCGAAGTCTTCTCTTGATTTTACTGGTTTCTAATGGTGTTAATACTTGAATGCCTTCTTTATCAAGCTTCTCGATATCACTAATTACGACGGCGTACACATTACGTTTCTTTTCAAGTTCATTTGCGTTAAGATCCTGCGTAAAATTAATTTAAGTAAAGGTTACGTTTAAAAGCATTGCTGACTACGATAATTACGCTGAAGTCAACGTTGAGTAATGCGTTTTTATGATAAAGTAATTATCTTTCCAAMGACAATTTTCATGGGTAATTCTTAAGCTCCGTTATTCATCACGTAAAAGTTAATTTTCCGTAAGGCATCCACGTAAATCGCCCTATATAGATATAAACCTGCGAGTAAAACGTAAGATTCACAACCCACGTATCATTGTGTGCGAAAAAGGTATTACTTAAGTTTTCAATATTCCGCAATGATTACGTTTTTTTAAGAAAAACAATCATTTTTGATCCGTAAGGAAAAATTCTCACTTACCTTTACGTATCGTTCAGGTCTATCATCCCCATCCACTAGTTTCATAGAGTCGTTGATTTCTTCGAGATTACTTCTAAACTGRTACCATTTCGGGACAATTATGATCGCGCGTTTATTTCTATCRACGTCGTCGCAYGCCTTTAACCAGCGGCCGGATAGATCAAGTAACGAGTGGCGAATCTTCTCGCTGTTACGCGAATCAGACGCGGTGATTGTTTTGCTTTCTTTAAGAATGGATTCTACACGTGGTTGGAGAGTATCTAGTCGTAGCTCRGCTTGCTGTGGGACAAAGAAATGAAATTGAATGGCAAGAAATGAAAGAGGAAAATAGAATGGGAATTCAAAATTCAAAACTATAGAATCGTCTTCTTCACGGTTACCTGCGCCGTCTTGAAAGGTAGACGTGCCTTGGCATTGAAGCGAGAAGACCGTTGAGCGTGCAATGATACAAACCTTCTTTTCACTACTACAGACAATTATTTACAGGTATCTATCATTGCACGCTCAACGGTTGTCTCACTTCGATGCAACGGCTCTGCTACATTTTAAGATGTCGCAGGGAACCGTGAAGAAGACTATTGTCATCTTTAATACATCTAAACGTCGAATTTAATTGCAACAATGTATTGCAGTCTTGGAATATGCTCTGCAATATCACTGTTTTCAGTATTCAATGTTTTTTTTAGAATAGCTGTGTAGAGTTACCTTGATTTTGTCTTGTATCTCATAGGATTGTACTTCCCTACTTTTTGGTCGTTCTATATCCAACAGCAATTCCTCAAGCGTTTTAACTTCATTGATAATAGTTTCGAGTCTGAACTCAAGATCATCACCTAAAGATGGATAARCCCATAACACTCAACACAATGGATACGTATCTATGTTACGAAACTTAAGGTTACGTGATTTTTTTTTCGCGATTCAAGACGGCGGATATGTCTCCGTATAAACTCCTATTTGTTAGAGAGCTTACGTTTTTTTAGATTCAATTTAACATCCGAAATGGTGGTTTCGTATTTATTTAACTTCTAAAAAGAAGTTTACTTGTTACGTAACGTTAAGCCGGTTACGTTTCGTGAATAAAGATATATTCACAATGAGGGATATGTATCCGTATCAAAAACGTCTATTTATTACGGAACGTTAAGCAAGCTTGCTATATAATTAACTTTTTTTAACTTGAACAACACAAGTTCAACCCTTTCTGACATTACCTGGCGGAGCCGAGCTCAAGCCATGTAGAATCTTCCGTGAGGTGATCGTTTCTTCGTGAATCGGTCGGTTTAAATCGGGACTGCGTCGCTCCTCGGTGTGAAGGTACTCTTCGGTCATTCCAGGCCGACTGATCATCTTTCGTTCTTTCACAATAACCTGCGTTTCWATCCTTGATCTATAATTTCCCTTTTTTACAGTTTCTAGTTCTTCTTCAAGCTCGGCGATTTTGGCCTCGAGATCTTCCCAYCGTCTGTCGAGAAGTCGTCGGTAAGGTTCCACGATTCGGCGTCCGTTCGACACGAATTCGTTGCTGGTTTCTCTGACTGCKTCAAATTGTGGTTCATGGTTCTGGATTTCTTCTTTTAATTCCTAAAGATACCAATATAGTTAGATTTTAACACCAATTATTAATATCGTTTTTGAAATTTTTCGAAGTCTTCATTCGTGCAGCGAAGATCAACGTACGATTTATAAATCAATGGTGGCCAAATTGTATTTTTCAAGCACATGAATTCCTACAAACAGAATAAACTACGCAACATCCTTTCTTTATAATAAATTTTCCCATAGAGTTCAGACATCAAAATTAGGTAAAAAAAAATGACAAGCTTTTTACGAATACGATCAAGATGAATGGAATTGAGACTTGCAAGGTCGGTATGAGCCTCTGTAACATCTAACTAAATTTACGAGTTTTAAAATATTAAAATATTAACCCAGACTAAACAGACTTACATGGGCTGCCCTCATAACACCATCTATATCACCAAACTGAAATCCCTCGTCGCCATGATAAATCAATGTATGAAAAAGGCAGGTCATCTTGAACTTAACTTAAATGCTAGCCTATCTCGCAATACCAACAAAACTTGCTGGTATCAGTTTATTGTAATGTTTCTACATGAGAAAATAGCATTTCTAAAACCACTTAAACAGAACAATGATAATATTTWGAGTAAAACAGGACCACCACCCAGTACTCACTTGTAAAAAAGCTGAGAATATTGACGTGTTTTTTATACATAGACATTCTTCATGCTCATCGCAAATATTGTAATGGAAATGTGTCAAAAATGTTGACAATAATTTTTCCACAAAAAGCTTGGATGTTAAGTCATAAAAACTGGCTAAAACAGAAGAAACATTCATTTCAAAAATAAAGCTTTTTACTAAAATTGCTTTGTTCAAAGGGTCTGTAGTTGTTATAATAACAAAGTTTGTTATATGAAGAGCATCACTGAAGAAATTGAACATTGAACATATTGGTGTACATAGCTATTTTTATTGTTTCTCTACGCTATCTTGGGTGTGGCACGCATCATCGGAAGTCGATTAAACGATCGCATAAATAAACTGCACGAATATCATTCAGTGATATGTATGTCGGTCATAATGAGAGGAGTGGGACAATCCTTTTCGAATATTCTTAATTCGCAAAAGAAACTAATGCAAAAACAGCGACGAGTCGGAGTGACGTGTCGACAACAAGGCATACGCAACAGTGAAATGCTCCAGTTTCGAAATCTTTCATGCAAACTTAGCTTCAATCAAGCATAATATTTTATTGTCTTCTTTGTAGACAGAGTGTTTGCATTACAATAGCTTCTCTGCTGAATAAAAGATATTACATGCTTTCGAGGTTAAGGCTGCACAAATAAGATCTCGAAACAGGAGTATTCAAAGCTTTGATATGATTCACTAAACAACACTGGAGCTTACRTTTGTCAAAGTTSAGCTGTAGGACGAAAAACAYGAGAGAAAAATGAGAAATAAAATGAGAAAAGGCTGTGAAATCTTACCTTTATTTTGGCATGCGCTGCCTCTGGCTGATCCATGCGTACCCCATTCGCCTCCTCGTTCATCTTATCAAGCCAAGCATTCAATTGATCAACTAACTTTTCAAAGTCCTTAATTTGAGTCTTGTACTTTGGCAATAACGATAATCTATGCTCCAGAAGCGAGCTCAAGTCTTCCCAAGTGTTATTAAGGCGAGTTAGTCGATCTTCTAGACTCTCGAGTTGACCAGTCTCGCTTAAATCGACAAGTTCGCGACCGACTTCRGTGAGACGTTGAACTTCTGATATTCGACCAGTGACTTCTTTGATTGTGCTCTGAAATAGAGATACAACAGTTTTCAAAATCGTTGTAAAATTTGAAGATAGTGAACAACGAAATTATATAAGACTTCTCTGAACGTATAGGATTCATAATTCAAAAGAAAAAAAAGAAAGAGAAAGGAAGAGAGAGAGAGAGAGAGAGAGAGAGAGAGAGAGAGAGAGAAAGATTCGTTTACGTAGATAAAAGGAATTTGTTTTCCGAAAGCTCGGAAAATTATCGTAATATTTTGAACAAAATTATTGTTGCGAAAACAAGCTGAACACTCAAAACGAAACGAAACAAAACAAAATGAAATAAAATTCCCGATTGCAGTATAATGCAGTGAAGACTGCACATCGTCAAATTTAACCAAGACAACATCTATCAGACACATCTAATTTCCCGCTAAGGATTTCATGCTTTTGAWGGGTTTGAAGGAGGATAACYACTTGAGGAGCATTCCAAAGATAAAAGTTTTTGAACTGATGAAATCATGTTCTAACAAAAATGTAACGCTACATGCGTGACAAAATGTAACGCTACAATCTACATCCCGGGGACTACATCCAGAGATTTTGCAGCCGCAAATGCTCTTATATTGGTACAGCTAGCGTCCACACAAGTCTACCSTGTGCGATTAAAATCTGCGAAGCGTCTACGGAGATTTTTGTACACGCTATCCAGACAGCKAAACTTTCTGWTTCTCCGGATACGTGTTGAATACGTRTGGACATCCGTATCCGGATATATTTGCATATGCATTTACATAGTATCGAAGACAAACAAAAATCATCCTAAACTCATCTTTGATGAAAAAGCCTTTGAGATATCCAGGTTCGTAGTGAAAAGATGTGGATTGTCGTTCACGACTCGGAAACGCTATATCGTGGGGAAGCAGATGAATTTTGTATACTTTTTTCAAAAGGTTTAAAAAAAATTTACGTAATGAAAAACCCTCTGGTTTAGGGTAGACCGGGACTTAGTGTACCATATGTACTACATGTATATATGATTTCATCCCGCTACAAACATACTACAATGATTTCAAAGTGGCTAAAAACTGAGTAACATCGAAAATTCATGTAGCGCGCAACATGGATTATAGTTTTGTCCTGCCGTTTAGTTCAACCACCTCGGAGACACGCAGCGCGCGACAATACAGCACGCCACATGAATCGTAGTTTAGATCAGCTTTAACATTAGAAGTTGCTATGGTAATAGCCTAAAAGGGAGATTTCTCAGTTATAGTTATTCGGGAAATTTAAGTATGACAATGTTTTTTTTATATCGTCTATCAAGTCCCAGTTCAGATCAACTTTTAGGAAAACATTAGAAGTTACTATGGTAATAGCCTAAAAGGAAGCTTTCTTAGTTAGTTATTCAAGAAATACGTTATCTTGTTTTTATATTGCCTATCAAAGCAATTATAACGCATAAAATAGCACACGAAAGGAAGGGAAAGGCATAAATAAACACGGCCTCTCAACGAGCGACCACCATCTTGAATTAGAGCCGAAAATTTCAAATTATATGAGAAAAATTTCCTCTATTAGTCATTTTATGATTTAAAATCACAACTAATGCCTCGAAACGTCTTTGTAAATGTTCTTGTGTTAATTTTGTWTTAGAAAGCCGTAAAATTTAAGCAGAAAGACTCCTTAACCGCTATAAATTTCCAGGTTTTGAGATAAACGTTCACAAAACTTCAAAACTTATCAAAAATGATATTTTAAATYCAAGATGGTGGCAAATCGTTGTAAGGGATTTGGGTATTATTATTTTACCTTATTCCACTTAAGTTCTTCTTCAACGTCCTCAGGAAACCCAGCATCGGTTCGACGTTTAGCTTCAGTTCGAGTTGTTTCAAGCCATGATTCAAGTCTTGTCATTTCATTTTCAATTCTTCCGGCCAATGTAAGTGCTTCACTTAAGTCCTACAATCCAAAATACTAGTGTCAGAGATTTTATTATAAGAACAAAGTAACGGTTTGGTTTCAGCACGCCGAAATTGCGACTTGTAAATTGACATACTTTTCGTACGCGCCACAGCGAAGTGAGTTGACTATACCGTAAAAATAGTTGGCTAAGAAAAATTCTGCAAATCCTTTGTATTATATTGTTTAATAAGTGCAACTTTGTAAAATTTCTAATAAGGGTTTCACTGATGTAAAAATGCTCTGTCTACATCTGGTTGGCCAAAGCGAAAACAACTTTGTACTTTTCGAATGACAAACCGTTATCATGCTGACTTGATAAACTCTGAAATAATAGAATTTATAATAAACATGAAAGAGCTACAAGAACACAGGATGCAACTGTAAGCTTTATGTTTTTTTAAAAACATACTCAGGATATATTAAAAAATTGTCACATTTATGTCATAATCCGGTGAATTGATATTAGATAAGCGCGCCTTCAGTGGTATATTTTCGCTTWACTTTTTCCTCGTTAAAGCAATAAAAGTATAATCAGCCCGTAGCTGTCGAAAGACGAATAGATATCGACATATGTAAATAGATTYAAAAACAGCGAGATACCCGGATATGTAACGGCGGGAAATGTCCTACTGATGATGTGCACGCTCGCGTCCGCACGCAACAAAAAGGCGCGAAAACGATTTAGTGTCCGAGATATTGTTTTTAGATAAAACATAGCAAAATTTCAAGAAAAATAATATCTAGTTTAAGAGTTATGGAATATAATATTATAATATAATATTATTCCGAAGTGCACGCTCTCGTCCGCACGCAACAAAAACGCGACGCGCAACGTCTCAGAGATATTCTTTTTTTTTTTAGATAAAACATAGCACAATTTCAAGAAAAATAACATCATAGGTTAAGAATTATGGAACAAAATATACATTATGAAAAAAGGCAAGAACTTAGTTCAATTTAAGCAAGAAATAACAGACTTGAGGGGGAAATTAAATTAGCTCAAGGGAATTCCCTGAAATAAGAAAAATATTACGAAAAGATAAAACAATATTTTCTTAAGTTTGTATGGCTTTCAAGAGAAYTCTTTYAAATCGCACAAAATTATAGTGTYTAATGCCAAATCTAAGATTGCGTGACTCATATATAACGGTTTGGHGTTCTGACCAAAGGCACCGCATATTACCGATACAACATCATATCATGAAAATACCTAAATGAATTAAATATAGCATGTAAAATGTCACAAATTGTCAATAAAAAAATCAAATGCTATCTTAGATTTTAGGAATTCTTTAGGTAAAAAAGAACGCAGAGAAGACAAAAGATTGCAAATTGAGTTTAAACGAAAAACAATGGAAAGTTAAAAAGGTTAAGAGTCGAAAAAATGACTCCCTCAAAAGGCACGCGTTCACAGCGGCTGGAACAACAATAAACTCGTATTAAAATACTATGAAAAGCTTGAGTTGTTTTTACCATGGTCTGAAAGGGCGGATKTGATGCCTGTTAAACTCTTTTTGACCCAAACATTTGATCMTCGCGCGACAGGKCTAAYAAAGTTCGCCAATTTAAACCAGTCTCGGGGTTCAAAATAATGACAGCCSCAAACTAGCCGATAAAAGATTCTGTTTTTCTTAAAATACATGGATTAATACTGACTTAAAAACTAACACTTAGCTTAAATAAAAACTTAATCGAAGAGGATTACAATTTAGTGTTAAGAGAACAGTGTTGGATCCAATGTGAATTTGCCACAAACAGTTAGACGATCATTGTATGATGCTATTGTTAGAACATTCCTTTAGATGTCACTCACTCACGGCTAACTGCCCAGAGATCCTTTAAACCAAGTCCCAGGTCGATGTTCAATTCCTTAGCTTAGCGTAAACAGATCAGGAATTTTACTTGGATTAGAATCACTGCGATTTTGATTATTTGAATATATTAGCGACAAAAAAACAGATGAATCGTTATCAAGAAMCTCTTATCGTTTCATATTTACACCAAGCGCTCGACCACAAAGACCCAAATAAGGAATCACGAGAAATTACACCAGAAAACGTCAAATTATTCAAAGAAATTRAACAAAAATGATCCTAAAACTACAAAAGAGAACAAGCTATCTTAGACACAACGGCAAACCAGTCTAAACAATGATAGACACTCCGTGCAGTGCGAGGAGAATAAACCTAAGATATCTACARTACAGAAACCTGTTCCCTTGCTGTTGTGATTTGAGWGGTCTTCGGTGATGTTGGCGTGATGAAATATGTAGTGATTTGTAAGGCTGGCCGCTTGTCCATCTTCGTGGCCGATGTTTGGTAGTAGAACCTTCACATCAGRATGCAGTGATAGTATTTTAGGTATTAGCTCAATAGGAGTGTGAATTGGATTTGTTTTTATAAGMGAAGACCGCATGGATAACCCCTGGGTCGCTAGATTTTGACAGGTGATACGGGTAGTATAAAAGTCAAAACCAAWAGCCAAAACCAAAATTCTACTTTTTCTTCGGGCCGGTATTAGAGGTATATAGAATCAAGGATTAGCGTCATTTTGGAGCTCGGATATCTCCTCTTCTTCATTCATTTGCGCCTAAAATCACATTTTCTTCATTYATTGGGCCCAGGGTCCAGAGTTTGGAATCATGATCAATGTGTATAGAAATCGGGATCAAATTGGCAGAGATTGGTAAGGACAAGGGATCAATTTTTGGGATCAAGGATCAGAATTTCTGCCCTAGTATCGACGATCACTGAAAAAACTATATACCTTGTTACAAGCTTTTTTTCCTTTTTTTAGAAATATATAGTATTCCTGTAAATGCACTAAAGATATGTTTTCAGAAGAAAAATATTCTCTTTGGATGAAAAAAATTTCTAAACAAGAATTAAAAAATAATTGACAAAATTCTAATAGCCTTTGGCCCTTTTTTTCTTATTGAACTAAAATTACCCTTGGGAGAGCTTAAAACAAACGGGTAAAAAAAGAACAATTTTATCTAAAAATGATTCCAACTGATTTCAAAAATTGGAGAAAAAAAGAAAATGAAAAAAAAACTGGGAAAAAACCGGGAAAAAATGCATGACGACTATTTTCAATCCATCATGTCAAAAAATCTTTCAATCTAGTTTAATACAAACTTTAAAAATGCAAAAGATTTTTCATTACATAAACAAAGTTTTTGATTCTACCGAGAGATTTTTTTATTTCTTATTTAAGTTTTATCTAAGCTAATTCATTTTGTTTTCAGCTCTTTCACTTGAAATATAAGCAATGGAAAACAAATGAAAAGCGGCAATTTAAGTCTATTAGATAAAGTCTTTATTGCTCCTAAATCTAATCATCTTTGTAAAGTTGCCCAAAAACATTCTTCATATTTTACAATATTCTCTCATATTGTGGTTAATAAGTTTATGAAATTAATGAAAACAATTCCGTTTTAATATTTCAAGCGATCCACAAGTTTCTTTTCGGAACCTTTTAGGAAACGATGGATTTTCATAGCTTATTTTTATTTTCATATCAATTTAAGTTTATGTATTTGATAACAAAATAGTGAATTAATACTCTGTTGAGAGACAAGTCTCAGCGTTGCTGAGTGCATAAGTGAGATATAGAGTTGTCAAAACAAAGATTTGCTGACATTGTCATGT